GGTGGGGTTACACATGTGGCATCATACTGAGTGATTTTAGTTTTTCTTGTCTCAGTAGAATAAAAATCACAACATCAACATTTCCCTGCACACAATAACTTGATTTGTAAAACGATAAAATAAAAACCACGCTCTACATTTTTTATATTTGTTTTTTTTCTGCCTGTTTTGCAATCTCTTTAATGATAAGTTTATAACATGGATTTTTTTTCCCACTCTTATCACACATAGCTAAATAAAACACTTTAGTAACCGACAGTTAATATTGAAATAAAAAAAGAAACTTGATAGGGACTGTTTAGCTAGCAAAACTTTAAAGAACGTTATTTTATTTGTCCAGTGACATATGAAAGTAGAAGAGGCCCTCAAGACGTTGACAACTTCCTGTTTCGTGCTATCTCGACTTACACCGTGATGTCTCCTTATGAAAGGACACAGAATATAACGCTTTGCGACGTATCGGATGTCTCTTCTGATGATAGTAACATTATTTTGTCTACACCTTTGCGAGTTGTCTCCGGGTCAAACGCATGTTTTCTGATATCTCTATACACTATCGTATGAATAGTTTCTTTTCACACGTGGGCATTATCAATTCAGTAAAATATAAACAACAGTAATTCTCATGTGTCACTATTGACGTCGGCGGATGTGTTGGAAAGAAACTGTGAAGGGTGTTATTCCGTCAGCTAAGATCAGTTACGACTAAACAAATCAAACACGTGATTAAAGAACTTAAATGTGATGAAACTACCGATTGCTTAGAAATACAAAACATCTTTCCATGTTACTATCAAGCAACTGCAAAATTAACACATAGATAAAGAATCTTCAGTGATATTCAGTTGGTCAATGGAAAAGAATTGTTCCTGGTGTTTTGGAAAGAATAGCTTGAAAGAAGTTTTGGGTGGTATCTTAAAAGAATGACAATATGAGCTTAAGGGGAAAAGGCCATAGAGGGAGCCAGTTGATTTCAGTTTCAGTCAAAGGAAATATACTAGTAGATGCTTGACTAGATTGAAACTATATATGTAACAATGATAAAAGAACACAATATCGTGTATAGGAATTAGTG